CCCCCCCCCCGGCTGTTGGGCAGTGTTTCCTGTGGCCGTCTGCCTGGAGCCCATACCATGCTGGGCTGTGGTGTGGCTGCTTCACCACTGCTTCTGTGCTGCCCAGCACAGCAGCAGTGGAGCAGCCACTGAGCAGCACAGAGGCGGTGGTGAAGCAGCTGTACCACAGCCTAGTGTGGTGTGGGCTCTGGGCAGGTGGCTGCAGCAAACACTGCCCGGTGGCAGTGAGCAGAGGGGCCACTTTCCTCTGCACCGAGCAGCAGCAGCAGCAGCTTCTGCTGCTGCCACACCTCAGCCACAATGGGCAAGCCCAGAGCTGGTGCAGGGCCCAGGTTGGCAGCGGCGGTGGGGAACAAACTGGTGCTCACAACGGGGGGGTGGAAAATGGGGAAAAACGGTTCCTCCCCTTCCCTGTGGCTGGTGGCCTGTGCTGCAGCTGCTCAGAGTCTGCTCTCTGTTGCCACCGCTGCCCTGCTGTGGCAGAGGGGCAGGACAACCCTACATGGGCTGTGGGCAGCTGCAGCACATGGTGCTGGCCATGGGGGGGGTGGTACTCTTCCCCCTGTGCTGAGCACCAGCCCATTTCCCACAGGTGAGCATGGGGTCAGGGTTGTACGTGCTGTTCCCTGCCTGTACCGTGGGTCTGGGTTGGGGGCTCTGGGAGTGGATGGGTGTGTGGGAGCCAGCAGCAGCCGGGTGGAAGCATGGGACCAGGGCTGGTGGGGCCCAGAGTAGGGCAGTAGGAGTGCAGGGTCCTGGCCAGCAGGGGCTGTATGGAGCTGGGCCAGCTCTCCACTCTCCCTGCTGGTGCAGCCCAGCTCTACAGGTCCCTGCATGCTCTGGGCCCTGCTGGTGCTGGCCCTGGGAAATTGGTGCAGGCCCCATGCTCCCACTTGCTTCCACTCCCCCCTGCTGCTTTCCTCACTTTTCTGCCTGGCCACTGCACTATGTGGATCCCATACCCATACATACATATCCCCACAAACCCCCATCTGCAATCAGTTCTGCATATACACCACAAATGCCCAGAAATCGGGACAAAAATATATTTTTTAATTAAATTAAAATATGTTATTATGGGTGTTTGATTTTAGTATGTAATTTGTTGGCGGTTTTTTCCCCTAAGATGGCAAACCTTCTTCCCCAAAGGAGTACTTTCAGAGGCAAGGGGAGAGACTTCTAGTGGCAAAGGTCAGAGGTTAGGACCAGGACTTTTCAGTCCCAAGATGGCAACCAGGGGGTGGGGCACCTGTCAAGGGGCAGGGCTACCATATGGCCCTAGACAGCTTGCCTAAACTGGTAAGAGTCCCTCCATCCAAAATAATTGCCCACCCCTGTTTTAGGGCAATATGGAATTTGATCTTCCTTAGATTTTTTTGTTCTAAGGAAGGTAAGTAAGATAGGAGACTGGTTGAGCAGTTGAACAGCGCCACAAAGGCAAGGCTAATCAGGGATCCTGGTTTTCTCTGACTTAAAAAAATCCTGAATTTCCAGATATAAAAAAACTAACCCAAAATCCACAACTTTCTGTGATTAAACTGATTTATTTATATATCATTATATTATTTAATCACAGAAAAATTTTGGGTTACTTTTGTAAAACCGAAAATTGGGGATTTTTTTTTTTTTAAATTGGAGAAAACCGGAATCCCTGTTATTCCGGGCATTTATAGGATGGATGGATTAACCAAAGGAGAAAAATGAGAGGTGGCATTGTTTTTATTTGAAAATTAGAACTACAGTTGTATAGCTGTCTATTCTGTGATTACTGGATGGACTTATGTCCTTGAAATTTATGAGCAAAAAAGTTGGTTTATCTCATAGCATTTCCTATCTGAAAGGCTCATAGCAGTTTACAACAAACAAACAAACAAACAATCAATCAGCCCATGGACAAAATGCGACACTCAGTGCTATAATAATGAGTTCATTTCTTTTAAACATAAAAAGCCTAATGATTGTTTCCAAATTGCTGCAATTTGCAATATTGGTGAATGCTGTTTTAAATGTTTTTTGACTCTTAAGGTATATGTTTGTAGGGTAACAGGAGTAACACAAGCCATTTACTATGTTAAACCTCAAAACTTCTTTCATTTTCCAGTAACCAGAAGTGATTTTGATTTTTGTCAGAACACTGAGTTGATAGTTCTTAGCCTCAGCTAAATACATCTAAGATAAATCTTCCATTTACATATTAATAGGATTTTAAGCAAGAATGTTTCCTTTCCTGAATCCTACCCTTGCCTGAATTTTCCTTTTTATTTTTTCATTTTCAGCAAAGATCAAATGAAACTGTTTTTTTTGTGTTGCACCCCATCAATCAGTGCCATCTAATTTTGTTTAAATCAGTGGTTTTTAACCATCTTGAACTCAAGGCACCCCAGACCTGGACTCCAGGTTCATAACTTTTGTGAATTGAGTGGCACCCAACTTCAGAAACAAATTTAGATAATATGGTACTTACCTCTTTGCAGATGAACTGGGAAATGGGGGTGGGGACTTTAGCTTGCTTTATCTTCTGAATTCCTTCTACCTCACTTATCTTCTCACACCTCTTTGTACCCTTTAAAGGATCTAGCAGCACATCAGGTATCCCTGGGCCCTGGTTGAGAATCACTGGTTTAAACTGTAGTTTGTTTTGTATATGTTGTGTTGTCTTAATGTGTATCAAGTCCATTTTGTATATTATGCATGCATGATAGTAAGTGGTCAGCAGTGACTGTTACAATGTTTCTGGAGTCAGGGATACCAGAGCCAGCTGCAGTTGTCAAATGGAAAAGAATTATGTATGGAAGAAAGAAAGAAAGATAAATGCTAGCATTGGACAGGGCAGCCAACAAACTTTCTTCCCAGTTAGGAAGACTGGGAAGAGAGAGACAAATCAAAGCCTCTTTTTCCAGGACTAACTTTGGGTTTTATGACATAAAGGATCACACCAGTCTTGTTTAGAGGTGTTCCCTGGAACTTTCTCTGGGTTGTCTGTGGTTGAGATTTTCAGGGGTGACAGGGAAATTTGTGATAGAGCTCACTAACATTGCATGTCTGTTGTTTGTCATCCCTTCCAGTTGGGGTTGAAAATCTTTTCAATAGCTACAATATTAGACATTGGGCACTCAGTGTTAATGGGTTTTCTTCTTCCCTTTCCTTTAATTCTGTTTTGGATTGCAGGTAAGGGCAGAGAGGTATTTAGCTTTTGGGAGCATGTGGAAAGCTGTTCATCTGATTTGGATGAATTTGTCCAGGAATTCCCTTTTTCTTTACTCTCAGACTTTCTTAAAATGTGGAGAAGTACTGCGTACATGTAACTGTCTTGACGACAACTAAGTTACAGATAAGGTTTTGTTACCTGCTGACTATTTTATGTGACTTAGCAGTAATAACAAAGATACTACCCCTTAGTTAAAATTTTGTAGAAATGGTTTGTTACTAATCCAGATTCTATTGTTGGGAGCTCACTTGCAAAAAATACTAATTTTGAAATTCTCTCTTTCAGAAGTATCAAAATAATTTGTTATGTGTTTAGAGAGATGTTCTACCTCATAGAGATGATCTGAAAATTAGAAAAATTTTGTATGGTGTATTTAGAAGCACTTTGAAGCTTATAGTAATAAAAATGTATTTTTGCAACAGAAAAAGGTGAAGTGTGTGATGGAACAACTTTTGTTTAAAATATCTTTTTTCAAGTGTTGAACTATTCCATCTTTGACCAAACTGACTCTTAAGTTTAACTAATAAATAAATAAATAAATAATTTGGCCTGACCTGCAGTTCCCAGGCCAGCTAGCTGTATCCCATTATGATATCACTAATTGCAGTTTCATAGTTAGCATGGACATCAGTCTTGAACTAGAAAGGAGAGTGAACTGTTGTCTTATGTAGGAAAAATAATACATGACCTCTCTCAAAATTAATCTGTAAAGATGTTGAGAGAAACCATGTGGGGGAGAGATGGGCCAGGGAATCTGGGTACAGGAAGAAATCAACTGATCCATACTCTGGCTGATCTAAAACAGATGGAATATAATGGTAAATCTGACCTGGAATGTTAATTACTGTATATTTTCATATTGTCAGAAGTCATCTGGTAACATTCTCTTGGGTTGCTGCTTTTAACGTTAACATTTTTATGAATGAAAAATTTCCCCAAGAAAAATCTGAGATGTAAATTATGTAAAATAGAACCTAAGTTGTATACTCCCTTTTTAAAAAAAAAAATCACTTGCCAGGGAATAACATGCACATAGGTAGGGCAGAACATGGAAAAAAAAGTTCAAAGCTTATGGCCAGCTGTGATGCAAAGTAAGTCCTCCTGCAAACCTAGAACGTCCAGGAAATGTAGCATCCCAGGAGAGAGTTTGGGTGAGGCAGCAGGAACTTCCTGGTGTGCCAGTACAGCACCAAGACTAGGCCCCATATAAGGGGTAGGGAGTTATTTTGGCTGCAGGGCGACTTCAGGAATTTTGGTGAGCTGCTGCAGGCTGGAGGCCACATTTTGCCCATACCTGCCCCAGACCCTTGCAAAGGCAAGATTGTTAATTCTTTACTGTAAATAGTTCTTTTATATAAGGTCCTGTAATTAATCAAGTCTTTCCACACTACAAACTCCTCAAGAAATTGTAAACTGCATACAGTAGCTAATTTCCTTGCACAGTTCAGTTGTTGCTTCAGGTATAAGCTACAATGCTCAGCCAGTTGCTATTGCAAATTTCTCAGAGGCTGAGAGATGATTAACACTGGACTCTGCCACTGCTACTTGGTGGCTAGAAAGAAGTGGCAGCCATTAGAGCAGTGTCTCTATGCTTCTATTCCAGTGAATGGAAAAATAGTTTCCCTGCTTAAGATTCTAGTTTTGGAAGGCTGATTTGTTTTTGTTTTTGTCTTTTTTTGTTTTTCTGGGTGGGGGGGAAGTGCATGTGGTATGCAAGTGAATACAGTATCAGTGATTCAGTGGTTTAAAAAAAAAAAATAGGGGCATTATATCCTTACCCAAAAGCAGAGTTTTTGTACACTTAGAAAATTTGAAGTTCAGATTAAATTTAAAAGAAATACAAACACGTTTAATCTGATTGAACGTGTTTGTATTTCTTTTGAATTTATACTGAACTGTAATTTTTTTTTGACACAAACACTCCCTTAAATCACTGGTATTTATTCAGTTTTACTTCCAGCTTAATGTATTTATTATGTGGAAACTACTTATGGAAAACAATATGCATATTTAACCTGTATTTACTTTTTGATATAAAGTAGATCTTAGTCGTCTTTTGTCTGTCAAGATTTATATTAAATTAGACCAACTGTACTATTCCATGGTCACTTAAAATGGTATTTATATTTTATTCCTGGGACAAGGAAGTGTATGAAGAAGAAAAACCTGTCTTAAGTTCCACATGCAGTTTCTCTTAAGGCAGTAGTGCTCACTCAACCTTTTGGCCCCTGTGGGCCAGATGACTGGGGTGGAGCCAGTCTGTAGGCCAGATCAAGCCCTAAGTGCAAGGTTTGGGCCCTGGGACCCCTACCTGCCCTGAGCACTGGGAGCAGGCCCTCGGGCCTGGCACTGCCCCCTCCTCCTGGGATTGTTTTCTGGGGGGTTCCTGCCCCCCTTTTGCCACCACCACAGAGATTGATCCCTGGGGGCCTTGCATTGCCTACACCCACCCCAGTAAATTGGGATTGAGTCTTTAGGGTCTGGCACTGCTCCTCCCCATGGGATTGGGCCCTGGGGGCATGGCACTTCCCCCTCCCACCCGAACTTGCCAGGATTAAGTCCTGGGGGCCCGGCACTGCCCCCATCCAGCCCTCCACACTGGGGTTAGGTGCCCGATTCAGTATGTAGGGCCTTGATGCTCCACGACTGCCAAATTTCTAGGCTATAGGGAAACCTATGGGCTACATGACAGGGCTTTGGGCCAGATCTGGCCTGCAAACCAGAGGTTTGAGCACACCTGTTCTAAGGAGTTCTGCTCTGAAGGGAGAAGGCAGCATTTACTGCTAGAAGATATATCTATAAGTAGAAACAAGGGCAAGGACCTTTGATTCTGTGGATGCCCACAGGCAATCTGTGGGTAAATGTCAGGAACAGTCCCAAATGACCGTGCAAACTGGGGATAAAGTTCTAATCATCCATTAAGAGATACCTGCTCTGTTCTTTCTCTGGGACTAGAAACTTTCATCCCACCAAATGGTGCTAATGTCAAATGGACAGGCTTTGTGGGAATATGGGGTTGTGTTTTTGAAGGTAATAGTATGTGGACTAGTCAGTAGGTTGACTATATATTGCTCGTCTTGGGGTGCCTGTCCTTATCAGTTGACTGCAGATACTTGCTCTAATTGACT